AATAATTTAAAAAATCATCTTTCTTTGTTGCAAGCTTTTATCTTTATATGGTTACTTGTATGTTTGCAGAATTAAGTTTGATAAAATATATTCATCATTTGCATAATCATTTGCATACTTCCAAAATCGGATTAAAATTCTCTCTAAGTGACAGTAATTCTTTTATTCCTTAATCAGTATTGTATTGTGCTTTAATATAAAAATAATTTAAATTATCACAAAATTAAAATTTTTCATTTTGTTTGCAACTAATATCTTTTATTCAAATATTTTACTTTCCATAATTATTTATTTACTAGAAAATATTTAATAAACCATTTAAGATAATAAATAGTTGATTTACTTTCAAATTTTTATTGCATTAATGAATTAATAACTTTTTTTTCCCACAAAATCAGTTCTTTCATTGATTAAAAGAATTTTTAATTTTTAAATCAAAAGTTTTAGAGTGTAAAACAAGTAACATCAAAAAATTTTATTTGAACTGCATATGTAATGATTGAATCATATCAGCAATATATGGTTTGATAGATCAGTTTATCAGATCATCATATTTTTTCTTTATTCTTTGATTATATTTTGTCGTCCGAAATGCCTTCATAAATTTTGATGCATCAATCTAAAATTGCATACTTATTTTAATAACAGCAACTAATTTTTTTCTCTCTTAAAGGTTTGAGCAATTAAATTTTAAGTATTGACAAAAATTAAATCAACTAATAAGCTACAATTAAGCGCTGAAATTAACGATAATATTTCTCGAAAGTCTTCAAAGATGCTTATTATCTCCAAGTTTTAAACTTTTAGTCTTAATCACTTGATAAGTTCTGTTATCCATAAATTGTTGCCAACAATTTTAAATTTAACACAAAATTTTTTTTAAATATCATCAAATATAAAATTGGTATTTTTTGTTAATAAAAGTAATATTTTGAGCAAAATTAATAAATAAAATTGTTTCATTCAAATATTTTAGTTCCCATAATACTTATTTACTAGAAAATATTTGATAAACTATTAAAGACGATAAATGGTTGATTTACTTTCAAATTCTTATTGCATTAATGGATTAACAACTTTTTTCCCACAAAATCAGCTTTTTCATTGATGAAAAAAAAGTTTTAATTTTTAAATCAAAAATTTTAAAGTGTAAAACAAGTAATATCAAAAAATTTTATTTGAACTGTATATGTAATAAGTTTTTTTTTATTCATTTGAGAATAAAATCTTTACAAAATTGCTACAATTTTATAATTAAAAAACAAAAAACAATTTGGCTACTATAAAAGTTATACTGCCGTGAAACTTTACGTGAAATTCATAAAATAAATCTCATAATTATTTAAATTATTATTAAAAAGTTCCAATATTTGCGATAATACTTACTAACTCAGGTGATTCACCAGAGAAATCACGTGTGTAATAATCGTATCCAATACGTGGCCAAAAATTTCTACCTGTCCTGAACAAAGCTCCACGTATAGCACTTGTTGCAGTGAATAACGTGAGACAGATTATTGCAACTAAAATATATATTTAAAATTAATCTTTAGAAATTAAAATATTAGTTAAAAGCAGTAATTAATAAAATTTAGTGTTTGATAAAAGTAACTTCAAGTCAATTTTAAGCCATAGCAGTACAAAGTAATATTTTGATTTTTTAATAATGACAAAATTTTTATAATAATTTTTCAATGATTTATTTGCTTCTTAGCATTCCAAAATAGCAAATATTTGCATGAATAATAGAAAAATAAAATTTTTGCTATTATATTCTGTTAGTCCTGCAAGTAAAATAACTATAAAATTATAGTAGCATTTTTTGATGACTTATTTTTTATTTAATATTATTGTAATATAATTTATTAATAGCGATTAAAGTGTAAACCAATAATAGCTTGCCAAGAATGAAAAATAAAATTCTCACATGATATTCTGCAGATAGTGGACATTTGTAAAGAATGAAAAAGAGGACAGCAGATGCTAGCTTTAAATCACAAAAGCTAAAAATTCAAATATGTCAGTGATAGAAAGAAGGCGTGTGCAGAATCTGTGCATAACTTTGTTGTTGTTATCTGATAAAGTCAAACATAATTAAAGGCAAGAAATTTTAATTAAATTTATTCATAATTACATAAATATAGACCGTACCACTCAATCTAATCTAATCTAATTTAATTTAATCTAATCCCTAAGTATTTTCAATCAGCCAGCCACAATTTGCTTAATTTGATTTAATATAATTTACATGCAAGTGTTAATACAATTATATTTTCTACTTATTTTTCCACTTATTACTTGTTTTAATCAACTTTTATTCTATTTTAAAAAATATATTTTCAATAAAAGAATCATTCAAAAACTGAAATATAAAAAAGCTGAAAATTCATAAAATTAATTAAAAGCTTTTGCGTAAATTTATTAGTAATTAAGCATAACTGTACTTGCTGAAGATCAATCAAATTATTGAACATGCACTGCAATCATTGTTTATTTATTGCTTTTATTTTTTGTCCTAAAAGAGATAAAACGAAATCAAACATCCTTGATAATCTTTAATCATTACTGATTACTAGTAACTACTATTAATGATTAATAGTGATTAGATATCTTTATTACTAGCGATCAGTACCGATTACCGTTCCTAGTTCTCTAAACAATTTGCAATAAAGTAGTAAAAAGTAATTATTGTTAAATTCCGATACCTTTTATCTAATTTAATATTAAAACAAAATTAATAATTAAGTATATCAGCTTTAGTTCACTACTATTCTTAACACTTTTATTATCATTCACATCATGTCACTAAATATCTCAATAAATACAGATAAGTTCCAAGTTTATCATTTCACTGCAGTTTTCTATTATCATTTAATTTCATATCAATTAAGCCAGTTTTTTATAAAAAATATATTATGTTTTTCAACAAGTTTATTTCAATTAATTTACGTTTTAAAAATAATTACTTTTTATACTTCGAAAAATGCAAAACAAAGACCTTCTGCTCTCGAAAATAACAATTATTACAGTTAAAGTTTTGTTTATTCTGTTTTTTAGTTCGTTATATTTTTATGCATATTTAAGCTACAAAAAAATGTACAAGAATTTGTCTGTTATATGTTCTGTTCTCTTTTGTACTCGAAAATACCAGCTCAATAATGTAAGTTACTGATTTACTTGCTTACTTACTTACTGACTAATTTTGAATAAAGACTGTTGCCTTTGTAATCATTGCAAATACTTGCAATCATTATTGTGCACTAGCAACTAGTTTAATCTCAGTATTCTTCTTTTGTTGTCCAAACTATCTAACTGACTAGTTTAACTTAGTCTTAACTTAACTTGAGATTTTCTACTCTTCCATCAAATACTTTTTATTTAGACAAAATTGCCAACTTCTACTTCTTTTTACTTATCCAATCCTTTCTACAAGTTTATCTTATTTACTTCAGCAAGCCCTTAGTAAAGTAAGCAGAAAGCAAAAAGCTATTCTGTTCACTTTTTACTTCTTGACTGTTATTAGTAGAAGCTCGTTTTGATTTGCTTCACTTTCATATAACACTCACTTTAGCTTCAGAAAAGCCATCATATTTTTTGAACATAATCAAATCATCATGGAGGTAAGTAATGTTTTTCATATTTTATTCAAACTTTACTTTTTTGGTTTTCTAAAAAAATTATCAGAATAAATTAACCGCAGAATAGAAATTAATTTCAGTGATATGATTACTTATTTATTCAGTTATTTGTCACAGACTTATTTAGAAATAGCAATTCTTATTTAGGTATTGAAACTCAAATTGTTTGTCGAAAAATGGGCAAAAACTTGAGATTTGCTCATTAATCTTATTTAACAGTTGAGGATTCTTAAGATTTGTTCAAAAATATATGCTCAGTTTATTTGTATTTTAAATAAAAAAACTTGAAATAAAAGTTTATTTTTAATATTTAGTCAAATTCAAATTATTTTTGTGTATTAAATGCTACTAAAAACAAAAAATACATTTAATTAAGTTTATTTCAGTTTTGACAGAATTCATTTCATATTAAATCGTCATTTTTTTCAAAATAATAATAAGTTATGAATGAGATATTAAATAAACTATTCGGAAGCCTAAACAATATTTCAATTATTTTTTTAATTGAAAAAATTGTTTCTTTATATTTTTAATAAATTGCTATCAAGTTTGTTAATGATGAAGAAGTCGTTAATTTTTATCAACTTTTTGAAACTTCCGAAAATATACGTAAAGTAGAAAATTCTCAAACAGTACTAAATTATAAAAAATAAATTTAAGCAAATAAAATCAGCAACAAAAACTAGAAAAATTGAACGCTGCAATGAATTATGCAAATTTTTTAAGATTGTATTGACCTAGTGAAATAAGATTAAAATTTTTATAAAATTAAACCGTCTTAAATTCGTATAATTTAAAAAGGATAAAAGATTCGTTTTGAATTAAAAACTTGAATAATTTAAGTGATAAAAAGAATTATATAAAAAGCATATAAAGTTAATTATTTGAATTTTTTCAATTTTTCGCTTCTTTATCAAAAGTATGCTTATTCAAATTTCTAGCATGATTTATTTTTGCAAAGAAGCGACAAAACAATTATAATTATATATTTATAATTAAGTAATACATTCATTCATTTTCAAAAATTTCAATTCTTCTGCTGCAAATATAATTAGGATGAAGCCGAAAGTGATAAGGGGCCAACGAAACGAAAATGGAATTTAGAACAACTTCGAGCAGGTGATACTTTCTTATCCATGCAGGCTGCCACTAATAAGTATGACTCCCAGAAAGGCATGACAGCTCCCGGTATGCCTCGCTGGAATATCATCAAGGATAAACATCTTGGGTTCGGACATTCAAATATAACTTTACTATATTTGCAGAACATATTTTTTTTATTTAATTATTTGAAAAAAAGTGTTATCTACAAATATTAAAAAAATATTACTTTTAAAAATAGCTAAAAATAAGCATGATAACTCGACTTAATTAATGAAATTTGAATTTGAAATAAGTGTATTAGTTTTTAAATAAGACAAAAATAGCGAAATATTATTGCAGCTTTATAAATCCCGATCGAAAAAGTGAGGAATATTTGAGTGCCCAATACGGTAGCAATCAATATGCATCGCAAAAAGGTTAATAAAAAATAATTACTGATAATCGCAAATTATTGCTTTAATAAAGTAGAATTGCTGCTTTTGTTATGCTAATTTTGTAACAGTCATGATTTCAATTAGCTGAAACATCTCAGAAGTCAGTTTAATGAATTAAAATAAGTAAGTACTGAACAGTTTACTTTATTATCAAATGTCTGTAAGTTATCCCAAATTGATAATTATGTAATTTGTAATTAATAAAATTTATACTTTTTATCATAACTAATTATAATATATTGATCATTTGTGGATAAAAAAGATTTTTAGGATTGACACCAATAGGTTCATCACGAGGACAAGTACCAAAAATAGAGTATAAAAAGGACTGGACATCGATTCTTGACAAAGAAGGTGAAAAGTTAATGCCTAAACAATCTGGTGATTATGGTATGGCTACTCAATCTGGCGAAGTATTACTTTCGTTTTATTTAAAGCACAGAACAAAACTTAATTTTACTTAAAATATTTATAAAATATGTGACTGCTTTTAGCGTTCGATGGGCTCTCACCGCAACCAAGTACCAAATATACGAGGACGTTTACCACGTGATAGACGAACTCATGGTGTATTATGCTACCAATATGGTACTAATATATTTGCCTCTCAGCAGGGCATGAATGCACCACCAGGAATTGGAGCTGTTAGACAAGCTACTTTAGAAATAGAAGGACTTGGATTTACGTTAGTTAAATTTAACATTTATTAATTCATTAATAAAATATTTAAATTTTATCTTACAGTGTATTTCGTTAATTTTATAATAATGCATTTTTGTTATTTGAGAGTAACTTAAAAGAACTGTATTAAAGAGAAGATGCCTTGCGCAAAGGAACAGCATATACGCCTTGGTATTCGGGTCAGAATAAATTTGCTAATCAATCTGGCACTGGGGGATTCCTGAAAGTTCGCGATGTATTACCAAATGCAAAAGTAACTCACAGAAATAGTCCTTGGGATTCTAACAAACCCCTCAAATTTATTAAATGATTTATTATGTAAAATATATGCATTGTAAACTAGATTACCTAAATAATAATAATTGTACTGGTCTGGTAAATTCCTGCCCATCTTTTGACCAATTTTTCTTCGTCTGTCACAAAACTGACCATTTTCGGATTTGGTAAGAATCAATTTTGTGAAAAAATGATGGCATTCATTTGCGATGTATTTATACAAATTATAGTTTCCAATAATTTTTTTCTAACAATTCAGTAACAGCTTATATATGTATTATTTTAGGGTGGTAAAGAAATAGATCAAACATTGAAAATAAAATCAGAAGGTATTGTGCCTCTTCAAGCAGGAACTAATAAACTTGCATCTCAGAAAGGTATGACTGGTTTTGGGACACCAAGAAATGTACTACTCAAGCAAGGATGGAAGAAAGAATGGTACATTTTTTAATTAATAATAATTATAATGATAAAAGATAACGATAGAAAACTTATCATTTATTTTTTATATGCAATATAAATATAGATTTTGAGATCTGCTCTTAGTTGGGATATCATAAACATTTATTAGGATTGAGGAATACGAGCAGGCTTTGCAAGAATTTGAAGAAATTCGACCACCTGGCTCTGCATCTAACCTGGATCCATTAGGTCATTACAAGCAGAAATTTGAAGAAAAACAAGAAGTCAGCACTAATTTTGAAAAAACAAATAGCATTTTTTTAAAATTTGAGCAACTTTTAAAATAATTTAAGATGTATTCATTTTTCAGTGAATTTATTTCGAGTTATTTTGAAAGTAAACTTTGCAAAAACAAATTCATTGACTACGTATTAATGCAAAGATAGGAATTCTGAATCAAACGAGGAAACTGTTAGAAATAAATTGTGTTATTCTGATTTATGAAAATCATAACTTCTTTTCTTTGTTATTATTTCGATACAAATTTAGAAGGAAAGTGTAGCAGTAGAGAAGAACGATTATGATCATAGCACTGCGCCAGATAGTAGCAGTGAAACCAAGGTAATATTTGCATTGATCTTCGAGGGCTACCATCAGCTAAAGACTAGCTTAAGTAATCTAAAAATAATTTGCATCATGAAAATCTTGAAATACTTAAATTAGAGTACAAATCGATTAGTGCAAACTGTCGAAAAATAAATTCAGACTAATAACTTTAGCAGAAGTGAAAATTTTTGAAATATAAAACATATTTTGATATAAACAAAATAGTAAGCATTTTCAGCAATTATAAAATAAATAAGCGGTCAGCTAAATAAATTTAAATTGTGATTTAATTAACACAAAATTAAAAACTGCTGGCATTTAAATCATATATCCGCAATATTTACAAATAAGTTGAAACTATTAATGAATTAAAAGCAGCCAAAATGTATATTTATTGAAAAAAAATTTTTTATGCTAGTAAGAGTCTAGTAAGAAGCAAAATTTTCAGAAGGAAGAAGTAGAAGAAATAAACACTAAGCTAGAAACGGAAGATGAAAAAATTAGCGAAAAAGAAGACAAGGTATGTTTGCTTTCTCTCAAACTTTACTAGCGACCAGTCGAAATATAACTTTGATCTAAGAAAGAATTTTAGCAAGAAGATTTAAATGAAGACGAAGAAGATTTAGAAGAGGAAGAAGGTGATGAAGAAGTTGATGAGGAAGTGGAAGAGGAAGAGGAAGAAGTGGACGAAGAGTGACCAGCTATTACTAATTCAGCTATCAGTATCGATTCTGAATGAAACTTCTGCTCATATTACATTATATCACATCATGTTATATTAATATGAAATTAATAATTGTAATATCGTAAATCTAAATTCAGTTCCAGAGCACAATTTTTATAATAGGGTTGTGTATGAAGTGATCTGCATAATAAAGTTAATGAGCAAATTTTAATAATTTTATTATCTGCCAAAATAAAAGAAACGGACATAGTGTGGGAGAAACCGAAATCATTATTTGAATCAGAAAAAAAATTAAAAATAACGTACATACTTCCCAATATCAGTTAATTGAAAGGTAAAGTGATAAAAGTTATCTGAGAAAAATAAAGTGAAGTATCCAACGGAAAAGAATAATTTCAAATAGTATAATTTCTCCTCAATAATTCATCACGTAAATCAGAAAGTAAATTTTTCTAGCCTACTTTACTGTAAGTCAAAAATAGACTTACGAATAAGACCATCACTGGGACATATCATGTGACTATTGAAATTTAGGCACAATGACTTTCCAATATCTCTATTTTCTTAGGTTTCGATGAACAAATGCCTATGAGGACTTGGTATTGAAATACAAAGTAAAGTAACACTGATCAATCATACTTGAGTTGCTAAAAATAGTGCCATTCAAAATAACCCCGACACTTCTCGACGAATATAAAGAATCCGAGACCTACTTGGCAACCACTAACTGGAAGTTATGGAACTTACTTTTATCTCCAAACGAGTTTCAGCCTCTTAAGCGAAATCTTGAAGTAGTAGAAAAGTCAATCGCCAAAAAATTAGATCACTATAAATGAGCACAAGCAAAACGCCACTTACTTGTAAATGTGACCTCTGGTACACGCTAGATATTAACACTTAAGAGTTCCCAACTCAAAGGAAATTGAAATCAGTTAGAAAACAAAATACCAAGTAGTTCTAATGCAATCATAATTACCAAGCAAAAATAAAACTGCCCAGCAAATTATCACTCCTCCATTTTTTTGTACAAATAACTTAGCCTCTTAATATGCATGACAAATCTTTATAAGCTTAAACTCTCAACTGTTTAGCAAATCCACATTTCAAAAACAATAGAAAAGACTTGAGTGTAATTTGATATATGCCAAATTATTTATTTTATTTATGGTGGTCAATGACATAACAACTTGAAAACAAAAATGAACTAAATCTATGCTTTGACCGCATATTTTCTCATCGGGAATTTACGAAGTTTAGCAAGCTGCTTCTTCGTTTTCAAATTAGTTTCACGTTCTGTTAATGCTCTACGCAAGGCTCGCGTCTTCTTTGGTCGTAAATCCAAAGGCTTGAAGTGCTTTTTCTGAAATAATATTTCTTTTATACACTCATTTGCCATATTCATTTTTCTAAAATAACCATTTTGGGACCGGCAAAAACTTATCTTTGAAAGAAAACTTGAGTAGTCAATGAAATCAAAAATAATGCTTCATGTAATTCTAACGATAACTCAAACTGTACAGGAAACAAACTAATTTCAATACAATCAAATGCTAACTTTATTGATTTATGACATAATGGTAGCATAACAGAGAAAAACAACATTGTATCTAAAGTGCACGATTTCTAAATACATCAACTTATAAATAACTTTCGAAAATTAAATCAATTGTAGTTTCAAAAACAGCAAGTGATGATAAAAAAGCATGAGTTAAAGTAGCCATAATTTATAAAAAGAAACCTTATAGAATTTCCTCAATTCTTGCTTCTGTGTCTGATTAATGACCGTTAAAATTCGAGCAATATTCTTCCGAACGGTCCGAATCTTCGACAACTTTGGTGCTCCCCCACCGACAACTTTTGATACCTGAAAAAAATGTAACTAGTTGGTACATAAACTAAATCCTCAGCTACTGAAATATGAACAATGAAATTTAGATGCATAAGAGTTGATAAAAGATTTTACTCTTAAAATTTATATTGCGAGTAAGGAATATACACTCGAGTTCGTATTCAACAAGAACACATTTATATCTTAAGAACCAATGCAAGAAACAAACAAACCTGGAGTGAAGCTAGCTCCGTTTTTTGTTCCTCAAGTTGCTTCATCAATTCCTCCTTTTTTTTTCCTCTGAGATCACGAGTCTTAAGTTTGGTCATTTTCTTACTTATTAACTGAAAGTACAAAACAAACTGTACACATAATTTTCAAAACATGAAACAACACTTACATGACAAATAAAGCAGATTACAGAAAAGAAACAATTCGTTCTTTAATTTAATCTAACATAATTCGTGCAAGAGAAACCAATTGAAAAAACATGTTTCTATATATTCACACTTCAAAAGTACGTATCCTTATATATATCTGGACATATAAAACAAAAATTATTGACAACTTGACAAAATCTTCAAAAATGTGCACATCAGACCCTTTACCCCATACCACAGCTCAACACAGATAGTACGCAACTAAAATTAGATTATTAAAATAGACTAAATTTAGCCATTTTTACAACCCATCATCGTAGCATATATAGTTGAATGAAACTATCACGTTGATTATACTACTGATGAAATAATTGTTTTCATGAATCATTTCTTAAAAAATGTGCATTTTTTTGGTCGAAATTCAGCAAAATTATAAAATACAAAAATAGAATTTGTTAATAAACATAAACAATTACAAACTAACTCAATAATATGCTTTCTTTCATTGTGTGTTGCATGCAATGAAGTGTGAAATTTAAAAAACCACACTGAAAAATTTGTGATATCTTGACAAAAATTGTTCTCACAAATTTTTTCAAGATTTAATCTTTTTCCGAGTTTTTGACTCGTTTAAATACACAATCCGCTGTTACTGTAGTATTATCTTAATCCGCTTAATATTATTTTGTACTTGGCTTAATTGCTAAATTAATTGGAGTACTAATTTTTTTACAATTAGGCCACCAGATATTAAAAGTGCTAAAGATGCGTACTAAGTGATAAGAGGCGAAAATGTAATTTTGTGTTTATTTTAGTGGTGAATGGTTTATCTGAAGCTTATGATTCTAATCTAATGGATCCGCTGCTGAACTCAAATGAAGTTGTAAATGCTGAATTCTTTCTTGAAGAAGGTCTAAATGAAGGTTAATTCATTTTGCTGATTTTTTGTGGATACTGTAATAAGATAATTATTATTGTGTGCTCTCAGTATATAAACCTATAACAATAGTAGTTGTTTTTACTGAACTTTTAGGCCAAAAAGTTGGCGAACAGTAGCTTATTTCTCACTTTATCTCATGATACTATGCATTTTCGATCTATTTAGTCATAATTCTTCATATTTTTGTACGTTATGGAGCAAAGTTCTTACTAATTTTCAATCCAGTTTTAATCACACATTTTTTGGATTCAATAAAATTAGTGTCTATTAGTTTTCACTTGTGTTGTATTCATGTTTCTAAAATTTAGAAACGTCAAGTTTTTCTTTTCAGTTATTTTCTGAACTGATTGAGCAATTGTTTTTAGAAGATGAAATTACTTTGATTACAGATATCGGTCATGTAACTAGCCAGCGGGATAAAATCGAAAAGGTTTATTTACTTGTAAAAGTTTTATAAGCAAAAATTCGATTTTACAATGTAGCCTGTTTGCATTTTAGATGTCGTATTCACTAAATCCTTCAAGTGAATTTTTTTTTGCAATACTGTAAAAAGTAGATTTTTTGTAGAAAAGTGTATTGCTTTGTAATGGTTTCATTTTCTTTAAGATGTTTCTATTTCGCTTTCATTTAAATTAAGAATTTGTATTTTAGCCTGAAGGTGCTGCTGTTCAATCATCTTTTGAAGTAGAACGTCTCTGTGATACAAAAATACTGGAGTCATCAAAAATAGTAGCACAAAGTAGCAAGGTTTCTCCAATTATTTGCGGGTTCGTTTCCAAGCTTAAAAAATTAATTCGTTTCCAAGCTTAAAAAATTAATTGTCATCAAAATTCAGTTCTTCAAGAATTTGAAAGTTAGTGGCGTATGGATTCCAGTACTTCTCCACAAAAATAGTCGTAGTTCTTCGACTTTCGAATATTTTTCTCCATGTTAATTGATTGCTTTTGAATAATATTTTCATTTTTTTTGATAAACAATAAGTTATTTTTTTAACTACAGTGAAAGCAATAAAAAAATGGGCGTAAAAAAAGAAAAAAAAGACAATAATTCGCCAGACAGTGAAAATATTACGTGTGATAATGATAATGGGAGTGTTGATCTTAATGTTGGAACAAAAAATGATGAGAATGAAGAACTTGAGCAGGAATATGTAGTAGAAAAAATTCTTGGTAAAAGATATAATCGACGTCAGAAGAGAATTGAATATTTGATCAAGTGGGCAGGTTATGATAGTGAAAGCGAGAATACATGGGAACCATCAGAGAACTGTGTTGGTGACTTGAATTCCTTATTTACTATTCTTTTCCGTATTAAAAGTAGTAGTAACAAATTTCGTAAACATTTAGCTAAAATAATTTATTATGCTTCAAGTCCATAACTTTATATTTGATAAATTCTGCAGGCTTCATGATATTTGAAGTGCAGTTTCGCATTGAAACTAAAGTTAATAAAAAATCACAGCTATCAAGTTTAGTATTTTCTATAAAAATTATCAGTAAAATAATATTTTAGCAGACTGCTCCGGAGGCAATACGTGAATTTGAAGAAAGTCAAAAGAAAAAAAGACAATTACGAAGAAATAAAGGCGAGGTGAATTTGATTTCCAAACATGATAGTTGTGCATTTTTCTATGACGCTCTTGTTTATGATGCATCAGTTTTTACTTCAGGAATGATATCTTCCCGGCAATTTTATAGAGTTTATTTTGTTTAAGTCCTTACTGGTTCTTATCATGATATAACTCAATATAGAAAGTTCATTATTTTTGAATCAGGAAAACGACTCTAAAAATATTGAGGAAGAAAAGAAGCTGTCATCAAAATCATCTAAGAAAAAAGATCAGGGAATTGAAACCGAATCAGTTTCAGAAGGTAAGTAGATAAGTATTTACTGTATGAAGGAATGGTCATCAGATATTAGGATATATTTTGTTATAACTTTAGAAAGCAGAAGCGATATAAACAAATATGAATCAAAGCGCGCCAGAATTGATCGTGTTCTTGGTGTCAAGAAAAGCAACAATGAAATTTTAGCACTGGTGCGCTTTGATGATGGGCACCATGATCTTGTACGGACTCAAGAAATAGTTGAGATATGTCCAAAGGTTAAATCTTCGTCTTTTACATTTAGAGCAAGAATGTTATACGGTTAGAAAATTCAGGAATATAAAGTGATACTGTTCCTACGTTTGTTTTTTGTGTCTCTGGGGAACATTTTAATCATGAAATGTTTTAGATATGTGATTTGAAAAATAATATATTTCTAGTGTATGTTCAATCATGAAATTACAATTTTCATGACTAGTTAATTTTCAGAAATTGGTGGATTACTATGAGAAATCATTACAATTCGTCTCGTCTTAAGCCGTGCGTTGAAAGATATTTTTTTGTGTTAAGAAAGTGTATCTCTGATTTTGCAATTTTTCACTTATATCTTTCCACTAATTTCTTTATTTTTTTCAAAAAATAGCCTTATTCCTCATTTTATGGTGCAGTTATGTGTAATGCGTCAATTTTTCTGGAAGTTTTGTAGTTATTATGAATTTGATCATTCGATTAATGTTTTCATATGTATAGATTCAGAAACCTTTACCTGTTTGTGATGTTGTATATGAAGGAATCTTCACATTTTTGATTTCCAATACATCTTTATTTTTGGCATTTCTCTTTCATTTTTGAAGGCAAGCATGTTGCTTATTTGCTTCTTACTTTTCATTTTATTCGATAAAATTTCATTCATAATGTTTTTGTGTTTTTACTCAACTTCAGTAATCTCTCAAGTTCGAATGAATATTTACCAATTTAGTTTAAAGAGAATCAATAAATTTCAAGTAGCATAATTTATCTTTGAAACCAGCATAGTTTATGAATATTAACTGTCTTTGTAATGTGCTTGACTTGTATTCGGTTTCTTGGATAAAATGAACACGAGGACTTTAGTGAAGCATTTTTGCATGAGATGTGGTTCCAGTCGTAAAGTAATTATGAAGCTTCTCATAAATGTGCAATTCACAGGAATAAAAAGTTAATTTAGATATCAGTATATTTTTTGAGTACCTCTGTCTGTCATGTTGTCGGTTGATGAAACTGAAATCACATCAGAAAAACAGAAAACAGATAAGGAACTGAGGAAAGAGGCGAAGAAAGCCGAAAAGATGGCTAAATTCCGTGAAAAAGAGAAGAAGTTAGCAGAAATAAAGACCAGGCAGGGGAAACCGGTTGTGGTTTGTTTTTTATTTAAGATTTTCCTGTTAATTTAAAGGGAAACAACATCTATTTGTGGTTCCAACTTCTCTAATTTGGCCTCTCAACATCCTTTCATATATGTTGCTCTTTAGATACCTACATTTTAAGGAAACAGGAAGTAAAGAATCACGAAAAGTTGAAAAATATATTGGGAAAACAAAACCAGGAGAAAAGAAGGATACCATCTCTGAATTGCCAAGTGCATATAATCCATCGTATGTAGAAGCAGCTTGGTATGATTGGTGGGAGCAAGAAGGTTTCTTTCGACCAGAATACAGCTGTGATTTGAAGTCAGTTAATCACACGAATAAAGTTTGTCTCAAAAGTATAATTATTCAGAAAACATCTGAATAAGTGCAATATTGACGTCTTTCTAACAATTTAATTAAAAACTAATAAAGTTCATAAGATTTGCAGTTTTCTGAATATGCGAAAGAAAAGTAATATACCAAATTTGGAATTTTGCCACCAAACTTGAAAAATTTTGCAGAAAACGGAATTCTGAGGATATTTTCACAGTTGTTATCCCACCTCCTAATGTCACGGGAACGCTACATTTGGGACATGCTTTGGCTACTTCAGTTGAGGATACTGTCTGCAGATGGTAATCCCCGATATTTTTTTACTACATGGGCATTTTGTTGATTGCTGGTAACGACTGTTCCACCATATTGAAAATGGTTTTAAATAAAATTTATAACGGAGTTCAAATTGATTAACTTAATTGTGCAAATAATGAGTTGCATGCGTTTTTGGACTAGTTTTTCGTAAAAATTTGTCAGAAGAGAGCATTATATTTATTTTTTGTTAGGCAAAGAATGAAAGGCAAAGCAGTTTTGTTCAATCCTGGATGCGATCATGCTGGAATTGCTACACAAGTTGTGGTAGAAAAGCGTCTGAAACGGGAATTTGGTTTAGGAAGACATGATCTAGGACGTGAAAAATTCATAGAGGAAGTATGGAAGTGGAAAAACGAGTAGGTTTTTAAATTATCTGCAAATTTGGAAATGCGCTATTTCTATTAATTTAACTATGAAACCAACGTATTGATATTCTCTCAGTTGACTATTGATATTCTCTTAGTTTAGCTGTTCTTCAATCAGTTATCAGACTTCAAGAGTTGTTTTTTATTTCTATATAAATTAAAGTGAAGAACTTGTTTTATCTTTAATACATTTTCTTTTAGATTTTGCAGTTTATTATAGAAAAGGCGAAGTAATTTACGAACAATTAAAAAAAATGGGTGCAGGAGTTGATTGGAATCGTGCTTGTTTTATGATGGATCCAAAAATAACATATGCTGTGGCACATGCATTCATTATAATGCATGAAAGAGGTGTCATATACCGAAGTACTCGGCTGGTGAATTGGTGTTGTGTGTTAAAATCTGCTATTTCTGATATTGAGGTAGTGTGTTCAGAAATAACTTGAACTTTTTTCAAGCAAATGAGTAAATAATGATCTACTAAAAATTGATTTTGTCTCTAAGAATTTGATTATTTTGCTATAAAACTTCGAATTTCAACGTACCAAATGCTCTCAGCTTATTGCAGTAAATAAATGTAACATGAAAGTACTGCATTATTAACTATAATTTATTAAGGTTGACAAGATGGAATTAAGTGGACGCACTTCTTTGTCAGTTCCCGGATATTCCAAAAAAATCGAATTCGGTGTTTTGACATCCTTTGCTTATGTAGTCGAAAACTCAGGTATTTTACTGACAAATTTTGAGACTAGCTAGTTTGTTTATTTGGAGTTTTTGAAGGATGTTATTTAGATGAAGAAATCGTGGTTGCAACTACCAGACTGGAAACCATGTTAGGTGATACAGCAGTTGCTGTACATCCGGATGATGAACGGTACAAGCATCTTGTTGGCAAGGTTATTTTTCGTTCTTGGCTTATTTCGTTTTGCGAAAACGAGTTTTTGTTATAGGTTACTAGCAATATAACTTATTTATTGTTGTGAGAATTAGTCGTTTGAAATTTCTACCTTTACTCTTTAGAACTGCTTGCACCCATTTATTGAAAGGAAACTTCCAATTATCGCAGATTCTTTCGTGGATCGAGAATTTGGAACAGGTGACTTTATCTATTTTTTCTCTTCATTTATTTTAATCAGTGTTCAAATTTTCTCTAAACAGTATTAATTGCATCTCATATTAAAATTTTGAGTGAAAGCAATAAGCTTTAGTATATTTATGTTAGTGGAGTTGTAAGATCTCATTCGTTCGAATTAATTTAGAAACGTTTTTCAGTATCACCATCGTGTTCATGAAATATGATACTTCATTCAGGTGCTGTAAAAATAACTCCCGCTCATGACTATAACGACTATGAAGTGGGAGTCCGCCATAAATTATCATTCATTACGTGCATCACGGATGATGGTAATATGACCGACGACTGTGGAGAATTTAAGGTATGTCTTTTTCTTCTAGAAATTTGGAGTTGAATGGAGAAAAAAGAAAAAATGTTATTTTTTAATGTTGAAATTTCGGCATTTGTAATGACATTACAAGTATTTTAGGGTATGAAACGCTTCGAAGCAAGAGATGCTGTTATGGAGGCTTTGAAAAAGAAAGATCTTTTCAGAGGACAAGTCGATAATCCAATGGTTGTTCCTGTTTGCAGGCAAGTTTTTGGAAATTTGTTTTATATTATATTTTTATTATCTTTAATTCACCATTATTTGTCGGTACAGATATTATGTCAAGCGTTTCACAACATTGTGAAATTAAAATTTGGTGAAATTTTCAGTCGCTCTAAAGATATTGTGGAACCTATTTTAAAGTCACAGTGGTATATCAAATGTGATCAAATGGCACAGAGGGCTATGAAAGCAGTGGAAGAAGGTCATTTAAAAATCATACCAGATTTCCATGTTGCAACTTGGAAAAAGTGGCTAGAGAACATCAAGTATTTTTTACGTCTTCATGTTTTATTACAAAATTCCAAAAATTTGTGGTTCCAAGCTCAAATTTTTTTTACATTATTCGTTTTGTATGGAATAGTTTTTTCATTGTTTGTGATGTGTAACTTGTTTTACTTTTCACATTTTACAAAGATATAATTTAGGGACTGGTGCATATCACGGCAGTTGTGGTGGGGGCACCGTATACCTGCTTATTTCATTACAGTTAATGATTCCAAAGTGCCTGTTGGGAGCTCAGATGATAATGATTATTGGGTGAGTGCACACTCCAAAGATGAGGCGTTGAAAAAAGCAGCCGAAAAGTTTAATGTTTCGGAAAATAAAATTTCTCTAGAAAGAGGTGATTTCGTGGTTATTTTTCGTCTGAAATTACTTAAAATGTTGGAAGTTTGGCTGTATAAATTGCTTTTTGTAAATTCATAGTTGGTTCATTTTTTAGTACATTACAAGTTTAAATCAGACTTGGAATTTGCTTTTTTTGTCTTGAAGATGTTTGTAAAAGTGTCTTGCTTTTTTATTTGTCGTATTGCAATTCATCTTATTTTTTTCAAAATTAAGACGAACGACAAATTGATTTTAGATGAAGACGTTCTGGACACTTGGTTCTCATCTGGTATGTGGCCGTTTGAGATCTTCGGTTGGCCTCACGAAACTACCGATTTAAATAAGTTCTATCCTTCTACACTTCTAGAAACAGGACATGATATACTCTTTTTTTGGGTAGCACGGATGGTTTTTATGGCTCAAGAACTTACTGGAATGTTACCCTTTCGGGAAGTTAGTTTTTTGGTGCAATTGACTTTTGCAATTTTGAGATCTTAAAATGAATTGAGAGCTAATTAATATGCTTTATTGTAAATCTCTCTTTTTATTTGAGGTGTATTTGCATGCAATGATCCGAGACGCACACGGGCGTAAAATGAGTAAGTCGTTGGGTAATGTTATCGATCCATTAAACGTGATACATGGTATATCTCTGACTGAGCTTAATAAAATGCTTGAATCTGGGAACCTTGATCCGAAGTACGTATTTTAGTAAGATATCACAACGAATATAAGAATAGAAGAAATGTTTAAATTAGAAATGTCGCGTCATAATTTTTTTTCAGCACAGTTAATATATACATGAGCTTCATGCTTCTTTAAGCCCCGTTTGTTTTTATTTTAAGTGTTTGAAAATGATGGTAATTCTTTACTTTGTTAATCACAGATTTGATAATCTTTTCAACTGAACATTTATCATGTTTTCATTTATATTTTGACTATCAAAAATACTGAACTCGCTAGAACATCATAGAGAATTGAAAATAGCAAAAGAAGGGCAAGCACGAGACTACCCTCACGGTATACCAGAATGTGGCACTGATGCACTGCGGTTTGCGCTGATGAGTTATACTGGTCAAGGTCGAGATATTAATCTAGATGTTCTTCGTGTCCAAGGATATAGATTCTTCTGCAACAAAATATGGCAGGCATCACGATTCACTCTTTCACAACTTAATAGCGATTTCATTCCACCATCAGAATTCCATGTCAGTTTTTTTAATATTATGCATTTTTCAGTCTTGCATGCCATCTAGCTCCTCACAAAAGTCCTTTTTCAGGTTCCAGAAAAAAGTAGCCCATTAGATCGATGGATTTTATCTCGTTTGTCTTTTGCAGTTGAGATATCCAACTCGGAAATGTCAAATTATCATTTTAGTCGTGTTACAACTGCCTTATATAATTTTTGGCAGTATGATTTTTGTGACGTTTTCATCGAAGGAAGTAAACCTGTGCTTGCTGACGGTTTGTTTATTAATTTTATCTCGTTTATCAATTTTATCTCGAAATTATTTTTTCCAAATATGAAATTTCATGCTACAAATTTTATCATTTATTATTCTACTGTTACAGAGAACTTTTCAAATTATTTCTGAATGTGTAGTCTCATTGAGATGTTCAGGAAAATCTGAAGGCGCAGAAGCCTCACGGAAAGTGCTTTACCAATGTTTAGAAGTAGGCTTGCGCTTATTATCACCTTTTATGCCTTTTATTACGGAAGAACTGTGGCAGCGATTGCCACAACCTTTATCAAGAAAACAACCTAAAAGCATTTGTATCGCACCATATCCGGAAAGTGAAAAGGCTCGTTTTATAATTTATACTACTTCAAAACGGAAATTTGTTCGGAGAAATCTAAAAGGACAGAAGCCTTATTTCATGTAAAGCTGTAATTCCTTTCTTATAGTATTCATGCCGGGATGAAATACTGGAAAACCGAGTTGCACAAGCTATGTCTATAATTAAGACTGTTCGTTCACTTCGATCAGACTATGGATTAACACCTAAAGTGAAGTCAGAACGTAAGTCTGTTATGTAGGTACCGAAGTTGCATTTTTATTTACAGTTTTCATTCCGTATTTTATTGTTGATCGTACATCTCAGTATCAGTTTATCTGTTCATATAATGCTGCATTATAAAGAAGTTGGTTTGAAATTTGTTTGAAGTTTACGTGGTTTTCTTGGACAGTTCAGAAAAAGCGACAATTGATGATCTCGTACTCTTAATATCTACACTAACTTTTTCAAAGGCTAGCTTTTTTCTTATAATTTGATCTTCTCATGATTTTCCTTTATTCATTAACATTACTTTGAAATTTGTTTTATTATAAATTTATTTCAGAAAAGTTGCTCAAAAGACAATATTCTTCAGTGTAATGTACCATTGAGATGTCGATTGATTTTCAGGTTTTTTTGCTTGATGCTAATCAAATAAATAATCTGCCTGCAGGTTGTGCACAAGTTATTGTTTCTTCGACGTGCAAGGTTGGATTATTGCTTGAGGTATTCTTTTTTTTTCTGTTTTTGGCAACCTTATCAGTGCACTTTTTGAAGTCTTCCAGTATAATTTTTAATAAGTTGCTGTGATTTTAGGGTATAATAGATATAAGTAAAGAAATTTCGAAACTGACAGGCAAACAGCAGAAACTGATGGCTCAGATCCATAAATTAGAAGAACTTATGTCCAGTTCTGCATACGATAAAGTGCCACTTGGTGTTCGCACTAATAACAACGAAAAAGTAAAATGTCTCATTTATTTTGTGTAATAAATCTTTGTAACTGAATGTTGGTAGAAGCAGCTTTTTGTTAGATAGTTTCTAATCCTTTATTATATTTATAATAGTAAAAAATATTTTGTCAATGTCACATTTTCACATTTTTATTTACTAAATTGAAAAATTTTCACTTTACATTATTGAAAGTACTGAATTTTCGAATACAAACTTTCAGGCAGCAACTCTCAAAGCAGAGTCGTTACATTTAGGTGAAGCTATAGCGGCACTGAAGAACTTATGAATTGTAGTTATTCTCTTATTGTTGTCCATTTCGTAAAATAAATGTTGCTTCGAGATTTTTTGATTTATTAATGATTCTGATATAGTGAAGCGATGACAGTTTTGTTGTAGCACATTCTTTATCATGTGACTGATAATTTATATTGTTATAACTGATTAAAAAATAAAGAACTTAATTTGCCCATTGTGTTGCTATTTTGTTTAAGCAGTCACTGGATTGTAGCGCATTTTCTTCCTAGTCAGATATTTCTTGAGCTAATATGAAGACGGAAAGACAACTATGAACGTGTCGTTGAAATTAACTTCCTTGAAGTATGCAGTGTTGTTTGAGTGAATAGGTCTTTTTAAATTTGTTGATAACTTGATAGCGTTGGTAGTTTTGTTGATGAGTGGATTGGTAATTTTTCTCTGGTGTTATTGAAGTGCGTATGCTATTTCAGATTGCATTAGTCGTATGACCTACATGTACGACGCACTGATATTTGCCGAAATGCATTAAGAAATGGATACAAATAGAATTGAAGTATCAAATGTCACAAGAGTTGAATTTTTGAAGTCCAGTTATTCACGTATAGTAACTTCACTGTTTTCCAAACATATCAGGCTGAAACCATCCACCGATGGATTGGTGGAATTCATTACGGATGCTGAACTAATGTCAAGATTGCATTGTCTATCTGTTAATTTAAATGAGCTTAGAGTACGTTTTTAAACTATGGTTTAGTTTTATAAGTAATTGACTTCTAAAGAGTTCTTTTTGCAGAAAAACTGGAGTGCACGAAGTTTGAGTATTGAATTTTGACAAACATTTGTTGTTTTGTTATATTTGATGTATTCAGAAGACAATTCCAAGTGATCGCTTAGATGACTGGCGTAAACATACATCATTTACGCACCCCCTACGTGGTTTTACTCGAGAACGAGCGAAGAGTCTCTGTCACATCCAGAACTGCACCCAAGCCTTTTTTAAATTTTATGAAATATTGACTCGTTTTTCGCATCTCTGCTTTCCTTCCAGTGAGACGGATAATGCAATAAGGTTTTTCAGTTTCTTTTAATTTCATTCGTTCTAGTTCAGTAAAATTTGACGTACAGAATAAGTTCTCTAGTGAAGAAGGAGAAAGAAGAAATAGCAATAACTTGAGTTTCAAATGGGGATGAAAACTTGATACAGTCTTTAAGAAGTAGAATATATATTTTTTAGAAGTTTGCACCTATGTGAATCACCTGGCGCATTCATTTCGGCTTTGGATGTATATTTGAAACTGGAAAAAAAGGAACTTTCTTGGTATTGGAAAGCAAATAGGTGGTACTTTATATATATTATAGTAAAAACGTGCTGTAGTTGAAGTATTCGTTGTTCAAGGCTTTTTTTTTATTCCAAATGAAAACTAATTAATTAAATAACTGAAAAACTGCAGATTTTTTTGGTCGAAGATAGGCCTCAACTGTTAAGAAAAAAGTTTGAATTATCTGGGACATCTGTTTTTTATTTGAATAGTTCAGAAGATACGTCTGAATTTTTCATGTGCTCTCTGTTAAAGTTGCGGCAGAATTAATTAGTAGGATGTCGAAAAGTAGTTAGAAATATTGTGTTGATTTAAAGATGTGTTTTAATTTTCTACTCAAAATAAGATGGTCGCTAAAAACTTTTAGTTTGAATCCTCATTATGAATGGAATTCGCCTTTTGAAATGTTTCTCGATGACGAATTAATCATAAATACTTACTCAAACTGGTTATTCGGTCCTGACAAGAGTGGCGACATATTTAAATGGAGTACCGCATATATTGATAGCATCACTGAACGAATTGGGAAATTTTCTCTTATAACTGCAGATGGAAGTATTTATTGTCAGGTATTCTGTGATCTTAACAATTTTTCAAACTGTATAATTTTCGTCAACAGTATAAATTATTTCTAAGTTTCTTTTTTTTTTTTTGAAATTCTGTGACAACCTGAAACATTGAGCAGTTTTTATATGAAAGTTGTGTCATGATTATAATATCAAAGCTAATTGAGGACAATCCGGCTGAGCAAGAGTCTATCACTCTACCACTTTTGGAAAAGGAAGTCGATATTGCGTTATCATTACTCCAAACTCATGGCACCTTCATAGTCAAAATGTATACAACATTTCTTGATAATACGATAGCACTGATTAATCGTCTTCTTACATGTTTCGAAGAATTACACTATATCAAACCTTCTTGCAGTAAACCAGGAAATTCTGAAGTTATTTTTAGTCATGCTGTTTTTTGCAATTTTTTCAAGACTAATAATTTTATTTATTTATTTATTTATACTTGCAATAATAGAAGAGCAATATTTAAATGATGTACTTATCATTTATTTCTTTTAGGTTTATTTGCTATGTGCACGTTACAAATCTCATGGAAGTTTTGACTGTGAATCCAAATTACATGCCTCTTACCAAAAGGTTTATTATGCAGGAATCTTCTTTTTTTTAAATGAATTCTGATTGACTACTTTATTATTGAACTATTCAAGTCATCATGTTTTCAGGCTTTATTTGAATGTTCAAAATTTTTCGTGGAACATCAAATGGAAATGATTAAATTCAATATTGCAACTTTTGGCAAGGTTAGAGATCTTTGTCATTAATTATATTTCAGAATATTTTATTTTAGTGTCAGTGGCTGAATCGAATCGGAATGTTCAATTTTGATATTTAGGCCTCGGATTTTCAGAGTGATTTGAATGATTTTATTGCACAAAAAAAGATGGAAGCAGCAAGACATTATGATCAGCAAATGTTTATAACGAAATTAGAAAAATTAAACACCGAAATATATACTTCTTCGTTCCGAAAGTACGTATACCTCCTATTTTCTTGTTTCAGATTTCTTTTTTCAGTATCCCTTGAGTTTGTTTTTGAAATTTGGAAGCATAAAAAGATTATGTTCGTCTAAATATAATTGTTAAGTTGGCACCTTTCATGGAATAATTTTTTCCAAATTTTTAGATCGAATCCTTGGAAATTCTCAGCACTTGGAAATTTTATCGAAGAGTTGCGTAATATTGATGTCGAAAAAGCTCAACTTTTAATAGAAAATATGGTAAAGTTTTATAAATTTTTCTGTAACCCAAATCGTTTTTATTGCTAAAATTGTGCAAAATATGGACGTAAAAGCGAAAATTTTAAGGCAATTTCCGATATGTTAAAAGGTGTAACAGTTGCACCGCAAGAACAGTTTGAAATATCAGCTTGCTGGAACTGCGACTGCTGTCATTGGCCTGCTAATTTCTGTTTGGAACAATGGGATATAGAAGACGTTTTCGAAGTTGGGGAAGCACCAGATCCAAAAACAAACATGAAGCATACGTTGTTTCTGCAACCTAAAGTCATGGCTCTGTTGAAATTTGCTTCATCGGTAAAACTGTATCTTTTAAGTTTCAGTCTCATACTTGTACAAGTTCCTCTTACATTCATGGTCTATAGAAATAGTCATTTTTATTTTCATTTTCATCAAAATATAGACATTTATATTCAGAACATTGAAGATATATTTTCCGTCTGCAATAGTCGTGATAGTAACTGCGCTGAAGGCGGAAGTGAAAGGAGTGTGACATATGGCAATTCATTACTTGAAATTAACGCATCGAAATTGAAATGTCAATTGGAGTGGATATTATTTCTTGAAGAATTATTACAGCTAATGCGAAATAACCAAGTAATTGCGTATGTAAACTGCTAATGAGGCTACGTTACTTGTTGTTGCTAGTTCTGATTTTCATGCACTGAAAATTATCGAGTTCTTGAAAAATATTTTTTTTTATGGGAAAAAAACGTAATAACTCATATTTTTATAAAAATTTATGAGGCAGATTTGGTAATTAATACTTTTATTTTAGAAAGTAACATTGAAGTTGACCTTTCCTCGTTTTTCCTTCCTGTTAACTCGCTTTTCTGCTTCATTTATGGCAATGTTTTCGTTTTGCTATAAAAAAGTTGTTTTGATATGCTCAAGAAATAATTCATCTGAAAGGTTTCATGATCAGTTAATATGCGAAGAACCGGTTAGTTTTTTAAGTTACCTTTGTGTAATATTTTTCATTCAAAATTATTTATTTATTTTTCATCATGCCATTATCTGTTTTAATTTTTGGCTTTCTGACTTTGATAATTTATTTGACAATGGCATTCGCAAAAATTTTAATGTGATTAGAAAGAACAACCAGAGTTTTTTTTAACTAGCTTTAGTAACATTTTCAGCGGATGACTATTAATTATGTAGGATTTCTTCGTTATTTATCGATCTTGAAGGGAAATTTAGCAGGTAAGATGTACATATCTGCATTTACAAAAAGGCTATAATGAAAAAAATATTGGAAGGTCACAGTAAAATTAGTTGTTTTGTAAGTAAAGAAAGGTTGTTTTTTTCTGTGTTCAAATTATTAAATTACCGAACTGTTGCACCATAACTTTCGGGTGTTGATATTTTTGCCTGATGATAAATCAATTTGTTTTTAAATTGATTTCTGCATTTAGGAGATCTCGCCAAAGGATTGCATATCTACCGTTTTGTTCCTGAATTGCAGTTTAAATGTGAATTTTTATATACTACATTACTCCGCTATAATTCGTACATGGCACGCAGATTATTGCTTGTAAAGTACAAATTATGATATGTGTTTATAAAAAATTCATTTTTTTTCAATGAATGTACGGGGAATATCGAGTATAGTTCATTCCTCAATACATGTTCAAGGATCTTAATGTCAGGCAAAAATTCTGTGATTTTATTTCGAATAGGAGAATATTTTCCTGAATAGCATATTTCTTGTTTTACAGAATTATCACGTCAGCATTTTAGAACACTTAGTACAAAAAATTATATTTTCACAAAAGTCCATCTGTTTTATGATCAAGTCTATTTGTCATCTGAAATCAGTCACGAACTGTCCATTAAATTATTTGGACTTAGTTTCGAATTTTTTGCTTAAATTACCTAATCTAGATGTTTATGTTAAGTAACAAAAGAGTCTGACCTCCCGCTAGCAGAACTAAAATTGCTCGAATCAATGATTCACTAATTTTCGAAAATAACAGATTCATATATATTGTTCATGGATTCAGTAAAATGTGTGATTGATTAAAGTTGTCGTACATTATTTCAATTTTTTAATTATTATTTTTGTCATGTTATAAGAATAAAAAATGGCGGTCTGGTTCGCTTTTGTTTCTCATTCTTTAAGGAATGTTTCTTCGTTTACGCTTCTGACAACCTAATCATTCAGAAAAGAAATGAATTCACTAATTGGAAAAATTTTCGAACTCGATTGTAACACCTTTTTATTGTTGGCTTTTTTTAATCGGAAGACATTTGAATTTTTTTTCATACTTATTTGGAACTTACCAGTTAGAAGAAAAAGCATGCTAGACAAAACCATATGATTCATTTATTTACAGATAGACAAGGATGTCATTGAGTGAGAAATGTGTACTTGATCAAGATGCACGTGAGATTAAATTGAATGTACAATAACTGGAATTCGGATCTTTTTTTAACTCAGTTCACTTGATCACTTAGAACTCATGTGAACAGTATTTGAATTAGATATACAAAATGCTTGTATAGGTAATAGTTCATATGGAAGTTATGATTTGTCTTGAATAACTTTCAACTCTGTTACCTCGTCTTGAGCTGCTCTTGGCAGGTCAGCATTTCGGATATGGTCAAAGTATTTACGACAGTTATTGAAAACAATGGCTTGATAAATGAGATAAATGCCAAATAGTATCATTACAGTTTTGATCATTAAAACGATCAAAAATCTCACAATGAATGCTTTATGATGACCTGAAATATTTTTATTTTTTGAATTATTCAACAATGCATAAATTATTATTTCATTAATATGCTTTAGCCATAAATTATAAATGAATTTGACACAAAAGTTTACAATAAAGACTTCTGTATCAAATTCCTTTTAACAAAGTTTTACTAAAGTAACAAGATCGTAAATAAAACAATCAACGATAAGTTCACTAGAATAGTAGCATATTTATTATTAATAAAATTCTTAAAGTATTGTTTCAGTGAAAGATTATTATTTACTGATAACTAAATTGTTTTTTATAAAGATTTTAGTTGGAACAGTTTAATTTGAAAAACTGTTACATGACAAATAGTGCTGATAGCACATTTTTGTTATTCAATTTTTTCACATAAAATAATGAATCCTCTGAATTATAAATTTTATTTGATCCCACGGACAATGACTTAAAAGTCATGCTGGAATTCAAAACAAAATTGTCATATATATATATATATA